TGGATGAACTCTCTCAAAGCCGCTTAATGATTCAAGGCTTCAATCAAGGGGGGCAAAGGGCGATTGGAATGATACGTCTTGATTTGGTCATTGGTGGGTTGAAGGCAAGTACTCTATGTCACGTCATCGATGCAAAGGCTTCATATAATCTCCTTCTAGGCCGTCCATGGATCCATGAGAACGGTGTAATTCCTTCAACGTGGCATCAATGCTTCATGTATGAGGAGAACGGTGTTGTAAAGAAGGTAGTGGCCGATGAAACTCCATTCACCGAAGCGGAGACATACTTTGCAGATGCAAAGTTTTACCAGAAGGCCAAAATTTATAAAGAAGACGATATTAGACGGGAAGAAGTATATCGCCCCTTGACTCAACCAAACCTGAAAAAGAAAGTTGTTGAAGGCATAGAAGGGCTTACGTTCCCTCTTGCAAAATCGAGATATCAAGGCCTCCTCAAGACATGTCTGAGGAAGAAAGAAAGCACAAGGATGATGTTAAGGAGTTTCAAATCCCTAAAGCACGCACTAATGAAGGATTTGACCCAAATGCATACAAACTTCTGGCCAAGGCCGGGTATAATCCTAATGAACAGAAGTTAGGAAAACTCATTCCAGAAGCTGGTGGAGAAGGACCATCGAAGCAGATCAATCTTTGAGGACATACAGGGTTGGGTTACGTTCAGCCGAAACCCATAAGAATCCTCATAAATAGAGCCACAACGCATCATATCAGTGCAGATGAAGAAGATGAGGTGACTTCTAAACCGAAGTATTCCGTTTTTTATCAGATTGGGGGGGGGCAAAATCAAAACCCGCCATCTTTGATAGAATGGGGCCAAAGCCAAAGAAGATCATGAAGAAAACTTTACAAGAACGGCTTGGAATGATCCCCTTCATGGTAAAGCACATGGAAGACCCATGTAGTGGGCAAAACTTTGAGAGAAAGCCGGTACATGAAAGGTTGGAGAAAGTTCGCTCACGCAAGAAGTCTCTCAACAAATATACAAAAACACAAGTTTTGAATGAATATAGAAGCTTGATTCCATCCCGAATGAGGCGAGAAACTGATGTGCAAGTCTCATGTGGAGAAACTCTCAAAGTACAGTTGAAAACAATTATTCATACTCGAATGCCGGCAGACAATAAGTTCGAATATGATGAACTGATTGATGACGAGGACTACATTGCCTCATCTTACCATATTACCTTTGGTGATGAAATCCCGGTCGAAGGTGAAGATGCTGATAAAGCTCCTCCGGAATTTGAAGAAGGAGTGCGAACAGCCTTGGATGAACTAAAGGAGGTAAATCTTGGCACCGAAGAGGACCCTCGTCCCATTTATATCAGTGCTCTTCTATCGAGCGAAGAAAAAGAAGAATATGTGGCCTTACTCCAAGAATACAAGGATGTCTTTGCATGGACATACAAAGAAATGCCGGGGTTGGATCCAAAAATCGTTGTTCATCACCTAGCGATAAAGAAAGGATGCCGACCAGTAAAGCAAGCTCAAAGGCACTTCCACCCAGATTTAATTCCATTAATTGAAGCAGAGGTTGATAAAATTATTGAGGCCGGATTCATTCGAGAAGTGAAATATCCTACTTGGATATCCAACATTGTCCCGGTCAGAAAGAAAAATGGACAAATCCGAATATGTGTTGATTTCTGGGATCTTAACCTTGCTTGTCCAAAAGATGATTTTCCACTTCCAATCATTGAATTAATGATAGATGTTGTGACTGGGCATGAAATTATGTCTTTTATGGATGGTTTCTCTGGTTATAATCAGACCCGGATGGCTCCCGCAGATGAAGAATTGACTGCCTTCCGAACTCCTAAGGGGATCTATTGCTATACGGTCATGCCATTTGGACTTAGGAATGCAGGAGCTACTTATCAACGAGCTATGCAGGCAATATTTGATGATATCCTTCACAAAATCGTGGAGTGCTATGTTGACGACCTCGTGGTGAAGTCAAAAGCCCGAGGCGATCATCTATCACACTTAAGAGTAGTATTTGATCGCTTGAGGAAGTTTGGTCTCAAAATGAACCCTCTGAAATGTGCTTTCGGAGTTTCGGCTGGGAAATTGTTGGGGTTTATTGTCCGTCACAAAGGCATTGAGATAGAACAAGCCAAGATCGACGCTATTGTGAATATGCCGGAGCCTCGAAATATTCATGAGTTGAAGAGTTTGCAAGGAAAATTGACTTACATACGGAGGTTCATCTCGAAATTATCTGGAAGATGTCAACCATTTAGTCGAATTATGAAGAAGGGTGTGCCTTTCATATGGGACCAAACGTGTAAGAATGCGTTTGAAAATATCAAGGCTTATTTGATGAAACCACCAGTCCTAAATGCACCTATCTCTGGCCGCCCTTTGATACTTTACATTGCTGCTCAAGAAAGGTCTGTGAGAGCTCTATTAGCTCAAGAAAACGATAAAGGGAAGGAGAATGCCCTTTATTATTTAAGCAGAATGATGACCCCACACGAGTTGAAGTACTTGCCCATTGAGAAATTGTGTTTGGCCCTTATATTTGCAATCAAGAAGCTTAAACACTACTTTGAAGCTCACACGATAAATCTTGTCTCCAGAGCAAATCCGCTGAAATATGTGATGTCCAAAGTGGTTCTATCTGATCGTCTTGCTAGGTGGTACTTGATATTTCAACAGTTTGAGATTGTTTATATCTCACAAAAATCTGTAAAAGGACAAGCTTTGGCAGATTTCCTAGCCGATCACCCTATCCCTGCTGAGTGGGAACTTTTTGATGATCTACCTGATGAAGATGTGCTCATAATTGAAGTTTTGCCTCCATGGAAGATGTATTTCGATGGAGCTGCACACAGAGAAGGTGCTGGAGCTGGTGTGGTCTTTGTTACACCCGAAGGTCAAGTTCGGTCATATGCTTTCATGCTTACGGAACAATGCTCCAATAACGTCGCTGAATATCAAGCACTCATTCTCGGACTTGAAATAGTTGTAGACATGAAGCAAACACGAGTTAATATCTATGGCGATTCAAAATTAATCATCAATCAAGTGCTTGGAATTTATGAAGTAAGGAAACCTGAACTGCATCCTTACAACAAATATGCAAAGGCACTCATAGGATGGCTGGGTGAAGTTACAATTGAACACGTGCCAAGAAAGGAAAATAAGCAAGCCGATGCACTGGCAGGGTTAGCATCGAACATGGCACATCTTGACGATGGAACTCAAGTACAGGTATGTCAAAAATGGGTAATTCCTCCATTCATTGGAGACGATGGTGCAGCCGAAGAGATAGTCGAGATGCCAACTACCTCAATTTATGATATTGAAAATGAAGATTGGAGGCAGCCGCTCATTGATTATCTCACTGATGGGAAATTACCTGAAAATCCACGCAAGAAAGTAGACTTGAAGAGGCGTTCACCGCGTTTCATTTATTATAAAGATACACTTTATCGAAGATCATTCGATGGTGTATTCCTTAGGTGTTTGGGTGGAGATGAAGTCTTACAAGCAATGGAAGAAGCACATTCAGGAGTATGTGGAGCTCATCAGTCCGGTCCTAAGCTGCACTTTCATATCAAAAGGATGGGATATTATTGGCCGACCATGGTAAAGGATTGCATGGACTATGCTAAAAGATGTCAAGCATGCCAATATCACGCAAATTTCATCCATCAAGCATCGGAGCCTTTGCATCCGACAGTAGCATCATGGCCATTTGACGCTTGGGGACTTGACGTGGTTGGGCCAATCACGCCTAGCTCATCAGGAGGGCATTCATACATACTAGCTGCTACTGATTACTTTTCAAAATGGGCCGAAGCAGTTGCATTGAAAGAGGTGAAGAAGGAAAATGTTGCTGATTTCATCCGAGTTCATATCATCTACCGCTTTGGTATTCCCCGATATATCTTGACAGACAATGGGAAACCTTTTGACAACAAGTTGATGGACAAGATATGCAAGATATTTGATTTCAAGCAACGGAAGTCCTCTATGTACTATGTTGCCGCCAATGGCCTCGCTGAAGCTTTTAACAAGACTCTATGCAACCTGTTGAAGAAAGTAGTATCAAAATCAAAGAGGGATTGACATGAAAGAATGGAAGAAGCATTATGGGCATATAGAACGACTTATCGAACACCTACTCAAAGCACTCCATATTCTTTGGTGTATGGTACCGAAGCAGTCCTTCCCCTTGAGCGCTAAATACCATCTCTAAGATTGGCTATTCAAGAAGGACTCACTGATGAAGAAAACGTCAAGTTGCGGTTGACGGAACTCGAGGCACTTGATGAAAAGAGGTTAGAAGCTCAGCAGAACCTAGAATGCTATCAGGCTCGTCTGTCGAAATCATTCAACAAAAGGGTTAGAATTCGCTCATTTCAAGTTGGCGATAAAGTTCTAGCTGTGAGAAGACCTATCATTATCACACGAAAAACGGGGCACAAATTCTCACCTAAATGGGATGGTCCTTATGTTATTCAAGAAGTATATTCAGGCGGTGCCTACAAGTTGGTCGATGGAGATGGCTCAAAGATTGGCCCGATCAATGGAAGATTTTTAAAGCTCTACTACCCTTGATATTTGGGGTATAGATATGGCCATAAGAAATGTTGAATGGCTTAAACCCACCAATGATGTTGTAAGTGGCTAAACTGCTAAAACATCTCACCTTGTCTATGGGTGAGCATAATCATAGATACTCTTGGCCCACGAGAGTTTAAAATGTGTACGGCAAGCTCTTGGCCCACGAGAGTTAAAAATGTGTACGGCAAGCTCCTGACCCGCATGAGTTAAAACTGTGTACGGTCCCCTCCTTTAGATTACCAATTCGAATGGTACTTATGAACTACGTTTGACTTGATCTCCTTCATGGGAGTATGTAGGCAACTCAAAAATTTCATTTTTGAGTTCAGTTATAACAACACAAACCCTCAATAATGTTTGATTTCAGTCACTTTGAAAAAAAAAAGAGAAAGAGAAAACAGAAGAAGAAGCAAGGCAATATCAACTCATGAGAAGCAACAAAGGAAGCAAATATCCATATATAGTTTGGTAAGAAGTAAGGAAAAGAGTTGTTTGCTGACTAAAAGCTAATCTAAAAGCTAAGTATCAGCCTAAAAACAATTTAAAGCTAACTAAGTCATCCTTCAAGGCCTCTAGCTCCTTCTTCTGAGTAATTAAAGCAAATTGATCCTCATCTGATGCTTTGATAGTCTTCAAAATTCGTGAAGATTCCTCCTTAGCCTTCGTAAGAGATGCGTCTAAGTCACTAGCCTCTACACGACGCTTGGAGATCGAAACTTCTACTTCCTTAGCTTCAGCTTCCAATAAGGCTATCTTCTTCTTGATATCATTAAGAGATTTCTCATCATCAAGTAATGCCACTTGGTTTTGAGATCTCTTAGCTTCAATATCTTCACAAAAAGCCTGCGACATAGCCAATTCCTGAGATTGTTTCTCAGAAGGAACATTATCAGCAACAGTCGAGCACGTCTGATCAAATGCTTGTGCCCTTTCAAAGAAATGATTCACTCTCGTCTTCAGCATGGAAAGGTCAATGCCCTCCTTCTCCATCAAGATAACACAATTCTCAACACTCTCCCGAAGAGATGAGACGTTCTCTGCTGTAGCCCGTCCTAACTTTTGTTGAATGCCACTCCAAGTATTAATGATGAACTGCTTATACAAAGTAAAGAAGTAGTCTTCTGCATGGAATACAGATGCAGCCGGTTTCACATGAGAAGACTTGGGTATTTCATGGATCGGAACTTCTTTGCAATGACTTGGGCCGGTTTCCGCTATCAATCTAACGACGGTGTCCTGATCTGTGCTTTCTCCTTCACTTGAGCTAGATGAAGAAACGTGATTCGAGGAACTAGCATCATCAAACACTGCATGAATCTGCAAAAGAAGAAAAAAATATAAGTACACGCTTTAAATAAAACTATGAAATGATGAAACTAACCTTCAGTGGCCCAACATGAGGTTTCCTAAAATGCTTCCAGATCCTCTCATCACTACTCTGCCTTTCATTGGCAGGAGACATTTCATTCTCAGCATCCTTAATCAAAACTTCAGCCCTAGGTGCTACAAGCTTATCCTTTTTCTGAGGCAAAGACTTAGCTTCAGTATCAGGCATTTTCTTCTTCTTGGAGATTGGAGTCACATGATCTGAAGGGGTGATCACATCACCAACCGCAAGATCGCAAATCTTGATCAAGTCGCTCACATGATTCTCCAAATAACTTCCATGGACTTGACCCCACCATTCTTTATACTGCAATGAATAAAATTTCGCTGGAATAGTAGGAGGAGTCGGAAATACCGCTTCAGCTTGTGACATGCCGTGCTCAAACTGTAGCCAAAGCTGAAAGCCAGCAGCAAGTGTGACACTCCGATTACGCATCTCAAGAAAGCCAGAAGCATAAGCCTGAAAATACCCAAATTGGTGACTAAAGCGGTGAGGAGTGTAAGGCTCAGCAATGCAATGATCCCGGTAGCGTAATACAAGATAATTAGACCGAAGACTCCTAAAAAGCGCCAACTCAGCCTCTGGAGGATTTTTACCATCGAAGAATGAATATTCTTTGATTCTCCGATGTGTAGAACACACCCATGCTGATACATCTCCCTGGAAAATTCGTTTGCGCACACTTCTCTTCTCGAGGGATCTCGCTCCACTTTCTCCCGAATAAGAAATCATTAATGGCGTTGTGGACTGGATCTCATTCTTAAAATGCGTATCAAAGTATGATGCCAACCATCCATAGACATAGTGAACGGGAAAACACGTTCTAACTTGATCAGGAGCTGGAGCATTCGAGATCCGATTAAGCCCATGATAGACACTTGCAAGAACCGGGACCGCAAGGCATACACGTTTCCCTCGAGCCAACATACAAGCAACTCTGAATGTTTCCGGGCGGATAACTCTAGGACCTTCATGCGGCAATACAAATGCACAAAGCCAACACGATAAAAATGCCGCTAAATATACCTCTTCCTCATATTCAGCAGGAACCTTGAGTACGTGGAATAATACCTTTATAGAATTCGACCATCCTCCAAATTTTGGAATAGCCCCGCTCGGATTATGGGTCGCCTTGGCACGAGATGTTCGTTTCTTTTCTGTTCTCACTGGAGGCATAATATACTTGGAGGCCTTTCTGAACCAGAATTTGACCCACGCATGAACACGCAAAACACGCTTATCTCCGGCTTTGGGAAAGAGATGATGATATGCGTGAAACAAATATTTGCAGAGATGAAATGAACGGTCAGCGCTCGTATTTAACAACTCAGAAGAGCCCGGAATAGATTCATCATATGCGTCTCCTATGATAGGCAATCCTCTGATAACGTGCAAGTCCCAAAGTGTGATTGTCAATTCGCCAATTGACGTAAGCAAAGTATTCGTCGTGGGACACCATGCCTCACAAAATGCTTGAATAGCATTAGTACATCGGTCATACGTGAATAATGAGGCATAAACAGCATCGTAAATAAGCCCTTCCTCTGGAACGCTTTTACTCATGCCCAAAGTATCTTCGGCCCAGTCCCAATAACCTGTGATGAATCTAAACTCACCACCAAATGATAAGGTCTTTGTCAAAGGGGCGTTTTCATCAAGGATGCGTCTACCCAAAGAAGGAAGAATCTCAGAAGAGGACATGTGAGTAAAGCCAGATACTAAAGTCCGCATTGTCTGAGCTTGATACTCGCACTCAGGAGTCCAGTTTGTAACTCGATAGGACACAACCGTTGGACCCCAAAACTCACGAGCATATGGCTTGTGCATCTCCAAAAGAATCTCTTCGTCATTCTTCTTGCTCGTTGATATAGAGAGATACTTTTTGCTTCCACGCCTTACGTCCCTAAAATATATCATTTTGGACTGCAAAAAAAATCATTATTCTTATTATTATTACTAAAAAAACTAAAATAATGATAATAATAATAATAATAATAAAGAAAAACAAAAAAGGGGGCCGCTCAGCAATAATAATCAATCTCAAGCCCGAGCAATTTCATCTTCCGCCTAGACAAGCAAAGAAATCAGTAACACTGGCCAATAATTAGTCAAGCTCCTTCAGAATGGACAAAGGTCGAAAGTAGCGGCAACATCTCAGTCTTCAACAGGTGCAATTAGCCGAATTCTCTAGATTGGTGCCACTAGCCCAACGAAGGGCCCCAAGTGACACCGATGATCGGTAATTAGACTAATTCTTTAGATCGGTGCCACTAACCCAACGAAGGGCCCCAAGCGACACCGATGATCGGTAATCAGACCAATTCTTTAGATCGGTGCCACTAACCCAACGAAGGGCCTCAAGCGACACCGATGACCGGCAATCGAATCAATTCTTTAAATCGGTGCCACTAACCCAACGAAGGGCCCCAAGCAACACCGACAACCGACAATAGGCTTAACTCCTTCCTCTTCAACAAGTGACACCACGTTCAAATCACTTCAAGTAGCAAAGAAATCAGGCCTCGTTATTATTAAATAGCTCCACTTGTGGAATACAGCCCAAGCCTTTAAAAATGGGAAGGCTTAAATTCTGGACAAGCCCGATATTTATTAAAAACGGTCCAGGTTCCCATTCCCTTGGTTGTCTTCACGTAGCATCAAGCAATCGATCGTACTTTTCTCAATCCTCGCCAAAAACGCAACAAACACCGCCATCAGCTTCATCCGCAACGGCAAAGCATCAGCGAACTCCGCAGGCTGCAGCAACAGCAGAGCATCGGCCTCCCACCATCTTCTCCGACAACAAATTAGCTCCCGACGGCACCGGCGATCCAGCAAAACGGCCATCAATTAATGATGCACTGCCGCAACTAATTTCTTCCGACTCTACTCTGTTTGTTTAGCAGAGGAAGATGCTGATAGCTAGGCCGCGGTTACTTGTGAGATGCTGATTCCGTCGCAGGTTGAAAGATGAGCTTGAGGAGGGTTGCTGGTATCGCTCGCCGGAGAAGGTCTGCGGTCAGAGGCCGAGCTGGAGATCGATGAAGGGTGATTTGCCGGTCTGCAACGACATTCTGCAGTTTTGGGAAAGCCACCATTGATTTCTTCCGATTCTATTTTGCTCATTGGCTAGAAGCGTGAGACCTCTTGTGCGAAGGAGGAGTAGATGATTTTAATCGACCTGCGACACAAGAAAAAAAATCAGATCAAAAGTATATGATTTACCTTAAATTTGCTCTCCTTGATTCAGAGAAATAATCTCCCGATCGATGATGTTTGCTGCTTAAATTTGCTGTGGCACAAATAATTTCCTGATGTGTTCTATTTATAGAGTATGAGGGAGTTCAAATTTCGGTACAATTCAAGTGCGAGGACAATTGGAGTCCGAATTTGATACTCCAATGGGAGTATATGCTTAATTCAAGAGATTGGGTCGGTGGAGGAAGGAGAGCTGCCAAAGGTGGAATTATTATTTAGTTGGGATTTGATTAAAAAAAAACTTGTGGGGTTTACGGGACTGAGAGAAGTCGAGTTCTTTAAGAGATTGGTTGATCTAGGAAGTTGATGTCCTGGCTAAAGTCATTAAAATTGCTCCTATCCGAATCTACTAAGAGATTAGTTGGGCCAACTTGGTAAACTAAGCTCTCAAATAGATAATTTGGGCCTACTCACGTTCAAGACTTACTTTTCTCGTTAAATGAACGTTCAAGTAAGTCTCGAGGGGGCATTTGTTGACATCTAAAAATTATTGGGCCGGTTCTGATAGTCATTGGGCCTCTTCAAAACGTTATCGAGCTACTATTGACCTTATTGGGCCTCTTTTAGATGCTATTGGATCGAACTCAAGTATAACGGGCTACTCATAAAGTTTAGAGAAAATATTAATATGGATCTGTTCGGATATAACTTAATTAATTCAGAACATTTCATATCCAATTAATTTAATTCTTTGAAAAGAATGGACTGGTCCTATTAAATTCTTTATTTTGAGCCCATTATTAAATAGTAGCCCAATGAATAAGAATCATGATCCAATTGATAAAGAGAGCAATGAATATGGTTAAGAAATCAGTCCATATGCATGAGAAATAGCTATGAACCTTGTTAAGAAAGCTGTCTAGATACATCAAACAAGTGCTGATTTTTCTAGCTATTAAAATGCAATCAAATGGAGCACAAAGCCCATTTTAATTGGGGCCCAAATGATATGAAGAGACCCTTCAAGTTGAATTCTTAATTCAAGAAGATTTGAAGATCTGACAAACGAAGATTCGAAGATTCGAAGATCTCAAGAACGAAGATTTGAAGATCTGAAGAACGTTCGAACGTTTGAAGGATTAAAGATTTATTTCTGAATTAATTTCTTTAATTATATTTATTTTAAATTGCAAGTGAAGAATCAGAGGATTCATATTGAGAGATTGTACCCAATATTCTCACATATTATTATTTGTGATCAATTTAAAGTAAATACTTAAAATTTGTTTCACGCAATCAAAACAGCCAATTACAAAAGCTGTAGATACCAATGTCGAGGCTTCAACATCAAAAGCAAAGAGAAAATTAATACTTGCAGAAGGAAATGAATCTGATTGCAGTGGTGGCCAAAACGAAGAAACAAGAGAAGCTGTTGCACCAACTATCAAGAACAAAGGGAAGAGACACAAGTGTTAACTTTACATATCGTATGATCTGTTTAAAACTAAAGTTTAAATAATAAGGACATGAACTCACTATGATGCACCTACGATTAAATTATTAAGTTTAGCTTTTTTTGCGTAACTTCTAGACTTTGTAATATTAAATACCCTTAAGCACTTTCAAACTATGTACTTTAAATATGTATTGCAGAGAAATTTAGAGTATTCATTCCGTAACTTTCGGCCATTATCATTATTAGTCCCGTAACTTTAGTCACTTGCAAATTTGGTCTTCTAACTAATTAATATTTGTGATTTAAGGACCTTTCCCCTGAAAAGTACACTTTCTAGCAATAGCATACCGAAAATATGTCGTCGGTGTCGAACTTTTCCGCTGGAAAGTGTACTTTCCGGTGGGAAAGTTCTTAAATTAAAAATATTTATTAGTTACAGGACCAAATTTGCTAGTGCTTAAAGTTACAGGACCAAAAATGATAACAGCCAAAAGTTACAGGACTAAAATTGCAAATCTCCCATGCATTGCACAATACTCAATCAATTTTGCATATATTACGATTGCTAAAACAATTTTAGAATATAACACCAATGTTGGTTGTACTCTTCTGTATTGCATTTCACTAAACAAAATAATAGATAGATATCTACTCACTTGAAGGTAAAATATTTATAGACAAAGCATCACTATCTATTATTTGAATATTTGATGTTGGTAAGTTTGAAGTCCATAACTATTACATTTTCATGAAACACAAATACATGTTATGAAAAGAGTATGTTGTTGATTACATTTATTTAATAAAAAGCTGCATTTATTTTCACTTTACAAACTAACATTGAACAAAACCTACCATAATTTAAAAAAATTATATAAGTTAATACTTTTTTTTATCCCGAGAACCACCTAATAAGTTAGGTGTGGTAAATGTCGGGGAACATCTACCATGATTAGATTAAGCAGGAGTGTTGAATTACAAGGATTACAAATGAGTACAAATGAGAAAAAAGGTTACAAAGGGCCTCAAAAATCAAGTGGGCCGGAACTTGGGCCATGGGGACCCTTCCAACAGCAACCGTCCAAATTTAGGGAATATTAGGGTCCAGACAAAAACTTTTATCGCCTCAATGGTGAGAGGTCTAGAGCCGTCAAAAGGTTTTCGAGCATCGATTCTCTGGAGCCGAGGTTCTGCGCTTCAGCCGGCGTCACGGAAGTAGGTAATTCCTTCCAAGTCATTATTGTATGCCTTTTTTGCTCTGGGGGGAGGTCGATGGCCTTGAAAAATTGGAGGTTTGGTGATAGGAGACCTGTTCGTGCTAGGTGATGGGCTACCGTGTTGGTTTCGCGGGGTCGGTGGGAAATGGAGAGCTTGTAAGCAACCCTGAGGTTGTTGATGCTGTTTATCGTCGATGAAAGGTACGTAGGTACCGTGTCCAGTCCGTTGATCATACACACTGATTTTTCTGAGTCTGTAAAAATGCTTATTGGGAAGTAACCCTTTTCTGCCATTAATTGTATCGAGGTATGGAGGGCCTCAATTTCCGCTTGAGTGGGGTCGGAAGCTATGATAGGGAAGGCCATAGCCTCGTGTAGACGTCCAGAATTGTCCCTCAGGATTGCGCCACCTGCTGCGTTGGTGTTCTTGAATGCAGCATCGGTATTAAGCGTGAGTTGATGCTGTGAGTTTGCTTTCCATCTCAGTATGTGTGTTTTCTTCCTGTTTTTCCTTAGCAGTGGCATAAGCCCATCGTTGTGGATGTCAAAGTCAAACTGTATGCATGATCTATGTTGATTTACAAAGATCCATTTGGATGTGTATTCCTTAATGTTTGCGATAGTTCCAGACCTCGAGAATTGTTTGTTGTCCCACACGTAGGCGTTGTAAGCTTTCCAGATGTGCCAAAGTATAATTCCAGAGAGCGCTTGTCTAAGAGTGCCTCTGGTTGTGGTGTCCTTCCTTCCAATCCACTAGAGAAACGAAGTTTGTCTTAGGTCATTGTTTTCTGTTGTTCCCACCTGCATAAGAGAAGAAAAATAGAACCATATAGGTCTAATGTTAGAGCATAAGAAGAGGCAGTGATTCTGGGATTCCTGGCTGTTCAAACAGAATGGGCATCTGGTTACCATAGACACATTAAACCGTGTCAGCTTATCTGGGAATGGTAGGCAAGAGTTTAGCACTTTCCAGATGAAAATTTTGATTTTCAGTTCAAGCAAGGGTTCCCAAGTTTGTTTTTGGCTGAATGTGGTTGGATATTGGGTGCGGGAAAGATGGTAGGCACTGCTCAGGGTGAATTGCCCATTTTTTTCATGTGTCCAAGTGGGGTTTAGGTCAGTAAGTTTGATAGAGTCATGGTAGGTGTTGGCTGTAACACATAATTGCTTCCAGGTATTTGAGTCATTGCGTTTTGAGATCATCAGCCCTCCCCTACCGTATCTATAATGCATGTGCTTTGCCCATACACAACTATTTTCTGTAAATAGCCACCATATTTTCAGTTGCATTGCATTTTGAATGTCAGTCAGGGATCTCACATTGAGTCCTCCCTCATCCCCCGGTCTACAAATGTTTGACCATTTTTTCCAGTGGTATTTAGGTTTCACACCTGACTTACCCCAGAAAAAATTGGCCATGAGCCTGTGTAGTATAGAAATTACTTTGACAGGGAATCTTGTCACCGCAAGGTGGTGTAGGGGAATTGAGCTTAGAACGTGTCTTATCATGATCAACCGACCGCTTTGATTGAGTTGTTTATTGTTCCAGGTTTGAAGTCTGTTCTCAAAGGTTCGGATGATATGGAGACAATGCTCAATTTTGGTTGTGCCCTGGTGAATGACTGCCCCCAGGTAAGAGAGTGGCAACGGTGTGATTTTCATTCCAGTTTCTTCTGCAATAACTTTTTTCCTAGCAGGACTTTGGTTTTTGCTTACCACGATGTTGCTTTTATTGAAGTTAATCAACTGACCAGTACCTTCTGTGAATATTTCCAGGAAAGATTTGAGCACCCGGAGAGAGGATGTTGACCCATTAATAAAGATCAGAATGTCGTCGGCGTATCCGAGTTGGGCGACCGGACTGGGCTTATTCCCAATATAGTAGGGCGTTATTTTGTTTGTATCAATCAAATTTTGTAGCCCTCGTGTAAAACACTCGATAACGAGTAGAAAAAGGTACGGGGAAAGAGGGTCCCCCTGTTTGACCCCCTGGACGGCTTGAAAAAGCCATGTGCCTGACCATTTAAAAGCACCGAGATTTGATTGGAGGCCAGATTACCCAATATCACTTGGGTGATTCTGAAGTCAAATCCAAATTTATATAGAACCGCCTCCAAAAATTCCCACGAGACCCGGTCAAAGGCTTGAGATAAATCAAGCTTGATTGCCAGATTCCCCCCTCTGATTTTTTTATCAAGGTGGTGGATGACCTCCGTTGCCATAAGAATGTGAGTGTGGATATCCTTCCCCTCCATAAAACCAATCTGTTCCTTGGAGATCAGCTTGTGTAGGAGTGGTTTTAGGCGATTAGCCAAGAGCTTTGTGCATATTTTGTTTGTGAAGTTGGTAAGGCTAATGGGTCGGTAGTGGGAGATTTTTTTTGGATTTTGCACTTTTGGGATTAGGGTAATGAGTGAGGCTGAGAGTGCAGTTGGCATTTTGATGCCCAAAAAAAAATTCTCTGATGGCATTGCATAGGTCGAAAGCTATGATATCCCAGCAACTTCTGAAGAAAGTACCGTTAAAACCGTCTGGTACGGGGCAACTGTCCTTGTTAAGAGACCAGACGGTGTCTTTGATCTCCTTATCTGTAGGTAGTGATACGAGAAAAAGGTTGTCTGCATCAGTCACCGTAGCTTCAATAGTTTTCAGTAAAGATACTATAGAGGAGCTGTCCACCTCTTCCATAGAGTACAGTCTTTCAAAGTGGTGAATGGCAGCTTTCCCAATGTCCTCAGTTTTGTCCAGAAGTTGACCTTCCTCGTCCTCGATGGAAAGGATTTTTTGTTTCCACCTTTTTCCTCTAACAAAATTATGGTAGAATTTTGTATTAGAGTCTCCTTGAGTCATCCATCTTACATTGGCTTTCTGTTTCCAGTACATTTCTTCCTGCTTGAGTTTTAATAAAAAATGGGTCTGGGCTTCAACCCATTTGCTACGTTGGGATGGGCAGGGGTTTAGAATATACTCTTCCTCTGCATATTGGGCATGTGTTTCGGCCCGCTTTACTCCTTCAAAAATATCTCCGAAGGTCGTTTTGTTCCAACTTTTGAGTGCACGTTTCGTAGCTTGCAATTTGTTATACAGGCCACGCATTCCTCCTCCAGAATGGATGGAGTACCAAGCCTGTGAGACAACCCCCTGAAATGAATTGTGGGTTGTCCACATATCCTGAAATCGGAAAGACTTTGGCCCTGAGAGTTGGATGTGGGTAGCAGAGAGTATTAATGGAGTGTGGTCTGAGGATGCCCTTGGAAGATGCCTTTCGATAATCGAGTTGAATAGATTATTAAAACCCGGATTTGCCAAAAAACGGTCCAATCGTCTCCACAGTCGGCCTGTAGACCGCACACCAGTCCAGGTGTACATTGGGCATGTGAAA